TAGAACTTATATTATTTTATTTGTTAATTATTCAACAAAGTAAGAAGCTTATACCAGGAGGCAATTCAACTTTTTTTTATACTTTGTTTATTTATTTACTTTCGCATTTAAAAAGTTGCGTTATAAAAATGCTGAATATTTGAATTATTACATTGCAAAAAATGCAAATGAATAAGCCAATAACGTATTTAAATTATAAACAGAAAACAACTCCAAAGTTGCTTGCTACCTTAAGTCTGCTCTGCAGGTTAAAATATTGGGTTCAATTCGATGTATGTATGTACATACATACGTATAAAAAATTAGAATTGTTGATAAATAATGTTTGAATAGTAAGTATAACATCAAATTACATACGTGTATGTATGTAGCTGATGTGGGATCGGTGGTAGAGCACTCGCCTGTTAAGTCAGTATCCGTGGGTTTCATTTCTACCAAAATACTCAATAAGCTTTTTGCTCACTAACTCATAACAAGAAAAACTGCGATTTTAATTAAATAATGAAATATTTTCATTTCGTTGCAACATCTCGATGAAAAGAAGCAAAACTTCCACGACCTTAACAACCAGCGTAATACAAGTAACACGACACTATTTCATGGTAGAAGTATAGGTTTTTTCTTCAATAACTTCTGTCACAGCTACAGAGACACAGAAGGAGCCTGTTGAGTACTTCCTCCATCACAGTCGCACCCTAAGTGCGAACCAACACTGTTTCCCTGGGAATATCTACTTTGACAGCTTTGCAGATAGATAGCAAGAGTCAATAACAATAACCTGCTTCATAAAACAAACCAAATGGTTTCTACATTTACGAAGGTGTGAGGGATCTCTCATGGGCATCTCTTGGGTTTTCAGCAGGCCAATAGGTCGCCAGCGCCATTTTCAAAGAACAAAAAAACAATGTTGTTGTCATAAACAGACGCTGATGCACACTAATCATTGTTGACAGATGTGAAATAAATAATCGCTTTTAAGATCAGGAAATCTTTTGGAAACATGTCGAATTGATTTGCGCCCCCAATTACCATTGATATGAGCAGAAGATTTTAGAATTGAAAAAAATTAAAGGTTCCGGTGATAAATCTACTAGGAGATTTTTAAGAACTGTAATTTTTTCATTAAAATAGAAAAAATCTTAATTCTCCATTCCTGTAAAATCAAATGTTTTCAAAGCAATTTACTCGTGTGCGGTCATAAATGGCTCTTGTGTGTTATCCCAATACATTTCAATTGATATACTCGTATGTATTATACGAATATGCAAAAAACAAAACATTCCGCGTGTAATTTCGAGTCGAATCATTGTGTATAACCCGTTTAATTTTTAATACTCGTACATACAAATATACACATGTACAAGCACAACAAAAGAAAACATTAACTTCACTTTATTTCGATGGTAAGTTTGAAATCACTTAGCGAAATATTTCAAACAGGTACAATAATAAAAGATTCCCCCATCCTCGGGCCACTCCAAATGGAACAACGACTGCCATTACCATCCGTTAGTGGCCTGATAAAAAGCAACAGAAAGATGAGCGATACGCAAGTGAAAAGTAATCGGTATTTGCGTGCAATTAAAAAAATATATTCATATTCATACGTACATACATACAAAGATCTATAGGTATTCGTATGTAACAGTTTACATTGTACTTTGTTGTAAACACATGTCTATATGTATATGTATGATTTTGTCATAACCTTATTGTTGTAGTCAATGCATGTACATACGAATCACGTGCATGAATATACGATTAGATATGTATGTATGTATGTATGCTTAGTCATAAATATAGCCCTAGTTTACGCTGGCACACTACCGAATACCCGTTCGACAACTTATTATGCAGTAAAATGTTGCATATAAACAAGCAAACAAATCAACTTTGTTCCGCAAAAAATTAAGGAAATTACATTTACGTCATAGCGTTGACTTTGTGGCCTTCAGTAGGATCTAATAGTCATTGTCCATTTAAATTCTCTCATATGAAATATGTACATACACGTTTGGAGCACTCACGTTTGCGTATATACATAAATATTCGGCAAGATCAGTACCGTATGAATGTAAATGAACAAATATGTATGCACATAAATGGGGTTTCCTAAAATTAATAAACCAAATGAGCTTGCAGTTGGCTATGCCGCTATCATTTCAATCATTTATTAAATAGTGTTTTCCTTGAAATCTGTTAGCAAGCAGCTTATGAACCGTTAATGCAAATTTCTCAATTTTAGCATATTATTTAATTCGAGACTTTGCGCTTTCGCAGAAATCTTTGGATTTTCTTATACACAATTACACATGCATGTACGAGTATACACCTATGCGTCTATTGCGGGACTCTCAAAGTGTAAGGAAATATTAAAATTTTTATAGAAATATGTGTGAATGGCATTTCCGGATTTAATTGTACCAAATAATAGCGCTTTACCATTTCGAAACGATTTTTTACTTTATTCACATCATTCTATATCTGACGATAGCTGAGTTGTGTAGCCATACCAATTATAGGAAGTCAAAATTAAATTAATATTTCTAATTGCAGTCGCCTTTCAGCAAATCATTTCTGACTTGAAATTGTAAAGAGTATTTCATATGCGTCCTGAAAACTTCATTTTGTCACTGTGAACGCACCTTTAATCCGATTGTCAAATTTTAAATGTCAAAATATTCAGTAAAGTCAACATTTTCATCATGGTGAAGTATACAAACGAACAGAGTTTACAAAGCCTCGTCCTAGTAGGCAAGCAATTCATAGTCTAGTAAACAAATTTGATTTAGACTGCGTTTTGCCCGATGTGTGAAGAATATCGCTGCAGTAAAAGCGTCCGTATTAATGGAGGCAAAACAGTCAATTTTCACGGCGTTCTCAAGAATTGTCTCCCCCTGAGACCAAATTATGGCGAAGTTTGCGTAAATATCTTGGCATACAACCTTACAAGATCAAGTCAACTCAAAAACTGAAGCCACTTGATTATGTGAAGAGAACGAAGATTTTCTTCACAAAATTATGTTTCGAATTAGTAAAGCGATGGAGCACATTTCTGGTGAAACGGCTTCGTAAATAAACAATTTATGCATTACTGGATCGGTGAAAATCCTCATGTGCTTCATTAAAAATCGCTTCATCTCTCCGTTTTTTCGTGGGTGAAAATGACCGTCAAGTTACGGTGAATGGTATTCGCTACAAAGGCTTGTTGAAACATTGTTTTTTGTTTAACAATTGCATGAATTTTATATCAGTGATATGTGGTTTCAATAAGACTGTGCCACAAGCCACACTTCGGGTGTAACAATCGAGTTATTGAAGTCGCAGTTCGGTATACGTGTAATCTCAAAATTGGTCGCCAAGATCGTGTGACTTAACTGCTCTATACTTTTTATGGGACTACATTAAATCATTGGTATGTACAATATTTGGCGTTCGGAGTCCCTCGGCCAAAACTAGATCAGGGGTTATAAAGCGGAAATTATGTACATATACTGGAACAGGAAACCAATAACAGAACTTTTATCAATTCTTTAGATCATTTTGTAACAATTATATTTTGGATTCTAGAAAAAATTTCGCTACGAAAAACATGAACATCTAATAAGAGTCAACTCCATTGGCACGGTACCAAGCTTTCAGTGACCTACTTTCATCTAATAAGAAAATCAATGTCTTTCTTCGTAAAAATTCTAAAAAAATTCCTTGAACAATTGTTGGTTACCTTCGCTCATCATTCTCTTGGAACAAAAAGTCGAAGAAAGAGTATCGGCACGAGAAAAATCCCATACTCAAGTTTCATCAAGATAAATACAATAATTGGTTCCCTTTCGCAGGTCTTTTTAACAATAATTGAAACTTATTTTATGCAACAAAAGGAATTCGGTGTAGGCCGCTTTTTCTTTTGGTTTTACGATTTTTGCAGTTTTTCACTAGGTTTTTTGACCTTTTTGATATATATTATTTTTTTAATATTTTTTTCTTTCTTTTATGTTTTAACAGGAGCAATAGAGAAATATGTATATACATAAAGCCGATGCAATATTTAATTTTTTAATTAAAATAGGGGTAATTATATATATTATAATGAATATATATTACCAGACCAGAACTTTTATAATATTTAAAATATAATTCTATTTTTTGTTTTTTTTTTTTGTTGTATTTTTTACGCCTTCAAAATATATACGTCACAGTTCCTCATCCCGCAGATAGCTTACAAGTTTGCTAAAAATAATTTTAAATTAATGCAAATGAGCAGTCCCAACTCGTGACTTCTCCAAAAGCTCACGCAAACACTCATATGTCTTAAAAAATCGGCGTTAATATGCTTATGACTTGTTCATAGCCGCTTTAAATTTTCTTTTAATTTTGCAAGAATGTTTTGAATTTTCAAATAAATAACCAAAAAAAGGTGCTGAGTTCCTCATTGAAAAAGCAGAGCAGTTTCCAGTTACAATTGTCAAAAAGTGGCTTATATTCAATTGAACAGGAGGTGCACATATAACCCAATTACAGTATGTCGCTTGTGATATAACTACTACAGTTCGTTTGTATGTATTCAAGTATGCTAAGCGGAATTCCTACTCTCTTTTTAAATACTCTAATGATTTGCGAACTACCACAAATACCACAGAACCATAATAACCCTGGCCAATGCCGGAATGCCAACTAAAATATGTACATATATACGAAGTGTGCGCTTTTAGCGGTTAACAGTAATAACTAATTTAAGCATACACAATAAGTTGAAATAACAAACCAAGAATAATTTTATAAATATCATAAACATTTAACTAATGCAATCTACTCAGACACGATACTGATTTTTATTATTATGTATGCACATAGTCGCACAGCTGTACGTATGTATTGTATGTACATGCATACATGTGCATAGCCGTTTGTTGCGCTTATTAAGGTATAAAACTTTAATTGCTAACAACAACTAATTATATACACACAAACAACGCAATATATATCTTTATTCGCCAGCTCACCTTCTATTGCTGTGACGCTGATGCTATGCTTCACTGCTTACTATTAACCTCAGCACTTCAATCCACAAATGACTTTGTATTCTTCTGCTGCCGGTGGTATTATTGGCTTGGAGTTGGTAAATACCATATACGTAAAGCCAAAGAAAATTATAAACAAAAGCACGGCTGGTGTGGAACTGGTTAAAACCGCCTCAAACTGAAACACACAATATTATGTCGATACAATAAACATAAGTATATAGCAAATTATATACACAAAATATTTTCAAGTATGAAATAAGTGTGTATGCATTTAGATACAAGCGCAGAATATATATAATTTTTCATTTATTCCATGTAATTTAACACATTTTCTTTTTTTTCTGTTTCTATTTTATTATATGTAAAATAAAAAATATTTACTATAAAATTCGCAATTAAGTAATAGATGATTTAATAAATTAATCAGTTTTAATTTCGACTTTTTATTCCTTTATCATAAATTAATTTTACGAATTTTGTAGCATCTTTTTAACTGCTCGACGACAAAGTGCTTGTTTTCTCTATTTTACATAAGCTTAATTTTCACAAATATTTTATTTACATCTATTTAACTGCGTTTAATTTTTTTAAATTTAAATAGTTATTATTGCGCGCGGATGTACGGTTTATTTCTTACTTTGCGTTTGTTATTTCACTTCACGTTACTTCAAACCATTAGGCCCGGCTGCAAAACTCAACTGAGCGCAGATTATTCTCCGCCAGCAGTCTTATAGCCAACAACGCACCTTCACTCAGCTGAGGGTACGATCGGCATTTATGGTTAATGGCAAACTCAGTCTACCAAAGGGCACATGCTGCTGTGGCTGGCTTTGCACTCGGCAGTTATTAACATCGTTTCGCGAGAGCGTTAAATTAGCTTCGACGAAGGAAATGGAGCAGTCCAGAAGTCGGTAACGCAGCGTATTGCTTTTGATTTCCGTCTGAAAGCTTTCTTTGGTTTCGTTTGCTGTAAAGCTTATTCAGAAAGTTAGAGGGCCACTGTGACTTTTGCTATATGTGAAGCCTATAAAAGTAATGAATAGCAAAAATATGGAGTTAGATGGAGATCTACAACAGCTTTTTTCACAGTAGTTGCTTTCCTCTTATTAATATTCAGAATTCCACATTGAATATTTATAGCGTCGTTGGAGCACTTTGTCCAAGACAACGCACAGTATCACAATTCAATCAAAACAATGGCAGAACTCCAAGGATTAAATTACGAATTGGTCCAAATCCACCGATAAGTATTTCACTCGGGCGAATAGGTTATCGCTTGTTTAAATTTTAGAGCGAAAGTTTGCAAAAGTCGCGCTTTCTTTGTTAGATCCGGTAATGGACCTACGATTTTGACCTTTTATTAAATTAAGCTTTTATGGCAAGGTTAAAATTTAAACTAATCAAATAATATTCGTACTGTGGAAATAACATTTTCATATAGATGATCTGTCCAATTTCTATTGCCAGGAAGAATTTATTATAAATCTCTAAAACTATTTCCACGTAAGTCACCGTTCATTTTGTTTGGAACAAAGCTGATCACTTGTTCTTTAGCAAAATTATCCTAAAAACCTTGTCTGATCTGCTCTCTAAAATGTGCTAACAACATGCCCCCGGTTAATATTTGTAGAGAGCTTTTCATTATGGAAATTAAATAAATTTGGTGAAATTATTTTCAAGATATAAGGTGTTATCGAAAATGTGACCTAATCGCAAGGAGCACAACACCGCGTGAAGGCAATATCGTGTCGATAATTTCGGCAAACGGAGCGCTTATCAGGTAAGCTTAATTCGAGTGGACTGTTTTTAAAGTTAGCTCCTATTTTCAAATTCGCCATTTTATAAAATATATTGAAACTCACTGACTTTTTAAAGTCTCTTTTTGTAAATCCAATTTTTTTTTAAATTTTTTTCAATATGGCGCTAAAAAATTTCGTAAAAGCAGAATGAATTGCTATGTGTTTTTTAACAGGAGACATCTAAGCATGCAATAATGCAAGCTTTCGAGTACCGCCACCAGTACCAGTCTTATAGATGCTTAAAGTTTATTACTTCACTGACTACCTGAAAAATGCACTAATGCATATAAGCACATATGTACAAACGTACATACATACATATTATATAAGCTTAAGTACATAATTTGACAGGAAGCTAATGTTTGGGCTAACGCTGTGGAAATTAGGCGTAGGATGGCGCATGCCTAAACAAACAGTTTGTTAATTGCTTGGTTAGAAAAATTTGATTGAAAACAAAAATATTATATAATATTTTTTCTGGTAGAGCTGGGTGAACGAAGATTTTTCTAGAATTTGCTCTCTGAAATCTTTTTACTTTGACTTCCAAAAGGGCTTCGTGTAATACTAAAACGATTTTTGAAGTCTCTTTCCGAATTTATTGGATTCTTTTTGCATAAAATCAAAGCATATTCAGCAAAGATGTATTTCTTACCATTCATTTACTTGAAATGGTACATTATCTTTGGCTTGAAGTATGTACAGGATGCTCCATCTTTTATGTCGGTAAGAGCGATTGCATCAGCTGTGTTTAGGAAACGTCGATTCAGTACAATTTTTGGCACTTGTTTTTGTGGGCTTGTCGAAAAAGCAGGGTGTACGCCAACCAGCACAAACTATTGATTAGCTGCAAACATTCGTGCTGAAATCGACGCTATAACAAACGAGATGCTCGGAAAGGTAATGGCAAACGCAGAAGAAATGAGCCATTTTATACAATAATTGCTAGCAAAGGTAGCCACGATATTGTGTCAAAAACTAGTCCAAAAAAATGTAAGGAACCAAACTAAATAAAAATACATCACTATAGAAATCGGATGTTTTTATTCTCAAAGTTATTCAATGTTGACATACCGACATAAAATATGGAGAAGAGATAGACCTTTCAAAATTTATACCAATCGGGCCCTGAGTTTTTATATAGCTTCTTTTAAACGATCATTTATTAGAACCGGCCAGATCGGGCAACAATATCATAGATACAACAGATTTTTCTGATTTGAAATTCTTTGTCATAAATCCGCCAGAAAAACATATAAGAGCTTTACGTATTTCTCGCAAAAATTATAAACTATACATTGGTACTGAAACTTATCGAAATCGGACGAATCTAGCATATACATAGCTCCCATACACTGATTTGTTTACATATGATATTTTGAAACCCAAAAACCGCCAAACAAAACGTGTAAAAGCGTGACATTTGGTATTCTAAAAACTCGCAGAGAATCATAACAAATGTGTGTACGAAATGTTGTTGAATTTCTTGAGTGGTAAATATGATCACTAATACTGAATCCGAATTATTGATCATAATTTTTATAAACACACGTACATGTGTACTATGTATTTAAAACTTTCCGCTGTGTGACTTTATATATATGTAGGAATAATAAAACACTCTTATTTCTTAGATGTGTATTTTTGAAATTCAAATAGCAACTGTCCTTTACGTCTTCTGTCTAATACGCGTCTCGTTCATTCGTTCAGTGAGTATTGCCTATATTCAGTCTGGCAGGGTTGTATTTTATAGTAGTCTTAAGTTAATGTTATATTAGTAGTAGGCTTTTAGTATGTCCGTCCGTGATTACCTCCTACATATATATATACTTACTTGAATAAAAACAAGTTATTTTCAAAAAGCCGAGCTTTAATGTTTCAAACACATTTAATTTAATTTCCGTAAGTTTTTAAGCCTAATAATTTCCTTGGGTTAGCTTCTTTTTTTTTGATAACTAATCTATATGATATACTGGAATTAACACAATCGATGTATGTATGCACATATAAATGTATATATAAATTTATGAATATATATAAATATATATTCATTTAAGTCTTATACGTATAAAACAAACATGGCGGATATTGCTGCGAAAAATGCTAGAAATGTGGATGCATATAATATGGCACACGTCGTTTGCATCCAGGATATCAACGGACCTATTGACAATGAGATTATCAGCTGCGCTATGAACACCATACTGCTTATAATGGCCACATCGGTGCCCAAACCACGGGCTTGTTTGAGGGGAACCGACTCTCCGTTATGCATGCGGAACTACAAGGATGGGAAAAAATAAATAAAACTTTTCTTAGAAATAAGATTGGAAAACGCTTACACAATCCTTAGCATGATAATTGGCCACCAGTATGTAGGGGATTGTGAAAATCGTGCCATACAATATGCCAGCCGATGTGCTAAACACAATTACACCCCACTTTGTCGGCCAAATCGCCAATATCAGCATACCGATACCGTAGTACGAAATGCCAGCAATATAGACAACTTTGGTGCTAAAATAAAAAGAAAAGCAATCCAAAACGTTCAGCAAGATTGCAAATTGATAATATGCAATAGAGACAAAACATACCCTAACAACTTCCGCAGTTTCGTTACTGAGATTGAGTAAATCGAACAAGATAGAGCGTACACAGACATGCCCCAACAACCAAAACGTATTCCCGACTCGTATAACTGAGCAGATTCCGTACCGGGCATCGCCTGGAAATGAAGAACAAACACAGATTAGTACCTGAGGAAATGAAGAGCTGCCGAAGAAGGATACTCACAGTTGGGTCACCATTAAACACAGCTTCACCAACAAAATCGGTAAAATACAAACAATATGTCACATGGCCCATCCAGCATAGTAAGTTAGTTAATGCTAGAATCCGCATTGATTTCGGCATCACAAAAATACTCTTTAAATACTTTGCCAAAGTGATAGGCGTGTCCACGCATTCGTCCATTTCAATGGCCATGGTGTTATTGTTGGTGGCTGTGGTGGACTGAGATGGGCCATTTGATTTATCTGTGATTGCCAAGGACGGGGAGTAGCCATTTTGGTAACTTTCCACTGGGGCATCATACTTTTCTTCCACTGGGACCTTTTGAAGCTCCAACGCATCAGTCTGCGGGAAAAAAGATTTGTATAAGAAAATATTCAAAAATACCCTTCAATTCAAATGTCGATTGGCCACCTCTTTAATGTAATAGACATCGTTGTTCTTTTTGCATAGTTCCTTCTTAATTGCTGCCGCTGAAAGCGGTTTTAACATTTCATCTCTTTCTATAAGCTTGAGTGGGATTTCGCGGAAAGTGGTGATCGTAATGAAAAAGCAAATGATGAATATTATGGTGACCATGCCAAAAACAGTGGGAATATTACCGCCCAAAGCAACGCCTGTAACATATTATATATAGAAGTTTATGTATATATATGTATATAAATAACTAGTGATACTAACCAAATTGCGTCTTCTCCCAGTCAACACCACCTATAGCATAACCGATAGTGCCACCGAAACCCGCCAGCAGAGAGAAGGTGGTAAGGCCACGTGCTTGATCCTCAGGTATACACACGTCCAGCATGTAAGTACGGGCCGGGGTTTGACACGTGTCCGCATTCAAGTCCAACAATACCATGCCGAGGATTGTCAATATGGCAGCAAATTTGAAATTCGAAGGCAAAGGACCTTCAGCTACATCAGACGATATCAAAGCCTCCGCTAAGCCATCATTTGTAGTACTTGAATTTTCAGCTGTTGTGATGTTGTAGCCGATGTCACCCAGTAATATCCCAAGATCCTGACCATATGGCACCAAAATCAAACCAAGTAATATACCCACCGATAGGAAAGTAATGATCGGTCGTCTTCTACCCCAGTTGAGGGTGCAACGATCGCTTATCGATCCCAACAGAGGTGAAATGAAAAATCCGATGATTGGCGAAACACCCCAAGCCATTGTCATCAGCTTGTGGTCGATGCCAATTTGCAACAAAATCGGCGACACAAACGAAGTTTCGGCAGCATAGGCAAACTCAATGGCCATCGCAATAACGGCCAGCCGAAACATTTCGAAACGCGTCTTGACCCGAAAGACGTGCGAGTAGTCGTGTTTCTGATTACGCGCATGATTCTCACGTGTTTTCAACATGTACTTGATCATGGGATTCTTCGTCGACGACATACTATGCTCACTCGCGCCTGCTGCTACCCCAACCATTTTCAAATTTAATTAGTCCTCTTCGTGACTTCGATTGGTTACGAGCAAGAAAACTGAAAAAGTAAAAGACATAAGAAATGTTTAAAAACTTTTATTACACACAAAGGCGGTATCTTTAATTTTCCTTTTATATGCAATGATATTAAACGTGTTATAGAACTGGTCAACTAAACATTATGGAATTTAAAAACTCGTATTTCGAATGATAACAGCTCTAAGTGTAATTGGATGACCTTATCGCGGCGATTTTCTGTTTTATTTATTAATTAATATTGACCTGATTAGGTCAAACAATTTCTTTAGCTAATTTAGTGAACAAATAAGATCTTTGTCTGAAATAATATCAGCTATACCGTTAAAACGCGCACATACAAAAAATGTGGGCTAATTGATTTTGCGCGGTTTTCATTTATAAATTAATCTTCTTAGCAATTTATTCACGCAAATGCGAATGTGGCAAAGAATGAACGAAAATAATTACAACCTGGGAGTACATACATATATTTTTGCCTTGCATAGATTTTCTTCCAATATTTGTGAAAAAGCGAAACTCTTTTTTAAGTGCTATCCAGCCATTGAACAAGTATATTTCTAAGGAACTTTCTTTCGCAGTAGCGATTTGTTAAAATCAGTAATGACCCTAAAGGAAATCACATAGTCGTCAAAAACTCTAGCAGTTGAACCATCCATCATACGTGTAGATAAGGCGCAGATGTTAGGAAATCTCATATGTAGCCCAACCTCCTTAGCAAACCCATTCGAACATCATCGTTACACCAGAGATGCTCAACAAAGGCATCGATATCTTTTCGTTTCGCTGACAAAAAAAATTTATCTCAACGAAATGAAATTGTTATTTTGAAGCCACATACATATTAAACGTTAATATTAAAATGGCTGTTTGCTATGATTTGACAACACAATTCAGTTTTAACATTAAACATCATCTGCTAGCGATTTAACATCAACGAAAGCTTTTCGTATATTTTCAAACGTTTCAACCGAAACGAAACAAATTCGTGGATTAACTTGGAATTTATCCTTCCGACGCAGCCTTGCTTTATACCCCAAAAGCTACATACCTGTTTGCAGTTTCTTACAAAGGGACATTTTTTTTTACATATTACAAATAACATATACATATGCATGTATATGAGACTAGCACCCTCACTACTAAAATTAAAATTTTGTCATTACTCCTTATGAAAAAAATGCCTCAAAGGGTTCTGCCGATACTTATGATAAGTATGGGCATACGTGTATATGTATGTACAGTCAACATCAATAGAAAGCTTTTATTTGATTATTCGCTATAAATTTTACATATTTTGACAAAAGAGTTCAATGGTTTATTATTATATAGAAAGATAAAAACAAAATTCTTACAACAGCGAAAGTTATTAAAAGAAAACTTAAAATCCTTCATATTTTTAAAGTCAAAAGAAAGTGTACAAATTAGTTCTCACATGAACATGTTTACGGTCATTACCAGGCTCCATAATCCCATCGAAGAATTTTATTCTTGTATGAAAGTTCTCGTGTTGTCTTAGTGGGAATTAGTAGTTCAAGCGATGTAAATGTACCGAAGTAAAGAAGTTTCTTTTTTAAACAATGTCCGTTTCAGCGATCAAAGCAAATTTGAGGTATTTGGGAATAAAAAAAAACAAAAAAATTTTGGAGATTAAGAAATGAAGCACTTGCTGAAAAGAATGTAATTCCACTGTAAAGCATGGTGGTAGCTCGGTGATGATGTGGGTGTGTTTGGCCGCAGCTGGGGTTGATAATTTAGCTTTCATAGAAAGCACTATGAATAAGATGGGCTACCTGAATATTTTGAAAAATAATTTGCATTCTAGTGTCCAACAACTAAATTTGGGTCAATCTTGGGTATTTCAAAAGGATAATGATCCTACACACAGCAAAAAGTGTGAAAGAATGGATGCTTTATCACGTCCCCAGGCAATTTTATCACCCCCCTCACCCTATCGAATATCAATAATAAAAACATGCTCAAAGAAGTTATTATAAAAGAATCGTAAAAAATAATACCTGAAGTAACCACAAATCTTGTCAATTCAAGGCTGCGCCGTTTACTGCTCAAAAATTTATTTCCGCCATTTGCTTATCTTCCGTACACTCTCTTTTACATGAACAATATGAATTACTTTGAGTTTTCGTTCGCTGTTGTAAGATTTTTTTCAGTTTTTCTATATAATAATAAACCATTAAACACTTTTTTCAAAATATGTAAAATATTACAGCGAATAATCAAATAAAAGCTTGAATATTATTGTAGTTAAAATGTAATAAACACGGGTGTACACTTTCATTTGGCGTTGACTGTATATTTCATGATGAATGCAAAGCAGAATGCAGTCCCACATTTAACCTTCATACGCTTCCTTTCAACTTCCATGTCTTTTAAACTTCATAAAGGAGAATAAATAGTACCGCATTTAATTTTGTACAATAATAGTAAAAGCAATGTTTGATAGTTTTTCCAAAGTTATTAAACACCAAAAAAGCCAAATATTAGGTAATTTTTAGAAAAGTTGAAACTTTATTGGGGGCATATCTTCGGTTGGCTTCACTCTGAGATCAGAGTTGCATCTGTCAAACGAAGCAAGTTTTCTGTGAATCAGCATTTAATACCATGCGAATATACATGGACATCCATTTTGCGGTTTCGAAAATACACGTAAATAGAATGCATTTAAAATCATTTTTTCTTTTAATTCCAATCTAAAGAGATTACATTTTCCATCTTATCCTTAAATGCCCAAAAAATAATAATGTTATTACAATAATTGTGTTTTGATCTCTCTCTGGTCGGGTAGGTAATCTATTTAATGATTGGCTGACTTTTGTTGCAATTGTTCCACAGGCTGGCTAAATTTGATTAAATTGTGTAACCAGGAACAGGACTATACTTTTCCAAAGGTTTATGATATGCTCATCTGGTTGCAAAACAGTTCCAGCCTAAAAGTGCAAAAAGCACCTTTTTTGCCACATTTGAGATCATGCCACTTCTAAACAATAAAAATATTTTGGGATCCTTATTCTACCTGAAAGTACCACTTCTACTCTTCAAAAGCCATTTTGAATTATAAAAAATCTTTTTTTTTTTGGTTCTGAGATATTGTTTATTGAATTTACGAGTTTGCCATATTCGCCAATGTTCAGAAATTGCGTAGAACTAGATGAGATTTTTTAAATGGTGTGGAAAGTAAGTACCAATACTTGAATTTTGAGTATTCATGATAGTTTTGTTTGCTGACTTGAATTCCGAAGACAATTTTCAAACATTTAAAATGGCGGATCCAATATGTTGAAAGTTTTTTTCAAAATGGTTTGGATTTGTAAAATACTTGCTGTTTGACCTAAAATGTAGCAAAAAAAAAGTGTTTTTTGCACTTTAAGTTGAAATCTCCCAAAAACCAGACGTTACCTAGATTCGGATTCACCACGTCTAACACCTTCGTAAAAGTGTAGCCCTGTTTCTGGTTACAAAATCGAGTCGTCTTGTGTTGTTAATGAAATATGCTCGGTTTTGACTAAAAGTCGTTATTTATCCCTCTCATGGACGAAATGAAATGGGCGTGGCGTAAAATGAGTACGCGTTAGATAGACTTGACCTAGGTGTCCTGGTTCACCTGGTTTCTGGTTCTTTTATTGGGTTTGAACCAGATTCAGAGCCCGGAGAAGGAGCTGGTGATGACGGAGTCGATGGAGGAGGTGATGAAGTTTCTGAATTCATTGTATGTTCGAATCGTTTTCTTGATAATGCATTTGTAACGTCCGTGAGTTTTAAATTAACCGCCCACGTCATTCTATGTTTCTTTTACAGCATTGCTGCATAATTTACTTTTGAAGCCGGTTTCGCTTTTCATAAATTCTGCACTCCTCCTCTTCAAGCTCTGTGAATCATTTTTTTCCTTTTCACTCAAATCTTCGTCAATTTCTCCTCTAATAAATTTGTCACTCAAGCCAACTTGCATACTTTTAGCTGTGTTATCCACATTTTTCAAAGAGTCTCCTAAAATGCTGTCAATATTTGCATCTTCTCTTTGTTTATTTTTCTCGTCAGTAAATTTTACAATTTCAGTCAGACCTTTTGGGCGTCTCTTAGAAAGTGGATATAAAAGTAGGTTTTTATTTTTCGAAAATTAACACAATAGACCACTTATTTTTCTTTATTTAGTTGTTGGACTTGGTTTTACGAAGGCTTGGAGGGTTATTAATTTTTTAACACTTCTTTAAAACAATATTTTTTGGAAAATGAATTGGTCAACTTCGCTTTCGGGAGAATAGCTACTGACTGAACAAGTGCACAACTGACCGTGAGTTAATTAGTTGTAAGCTTAAATAACACATAAGGCTATATTTTTACGAAAGGCGCTAAGAAAAATATGTAAGGTTGCTATACTTTGATGCTCATAATCAGAATGTTGCATATACGCAATATTGGGCATGAAAGGGTTAAGTCTGACAGGCATATGGTCACTAGAACAAGTTAATGCCGGCAGAACATCTATAAAACCCACCAGAATGGGTCCTGAGGCATAAGTTTACGTGTTTTATGTGAAAAACAGGAATTAAGCTTCGAAATGATAGTTTCTAACTGAGCCGAAACAAAACGTCGTCAGAATCGATCAAAAGTCGAGAATCTTGCGGTTTTCTATGATTATTCCTGTGAAGTGCACTCAGAAATTTGTCAAAAGATCAGACAGTAACTAAAGAATCTTATTGGAGCAAATTCGCCGAAAAGGTTTGGAAAGGAAATTCGTTCGTTTTGTATTTTGTAGATGGAATTCCCGTAATTTTCAGAAGTGTAATTTCATAGTACAAATCGAATGATAATTTCGTGAGTAGTGATTTTTTAGAAAAAAAATGGTATGAAACGCATAATATATTCTGAAACTTATTTACAAAAAAAAAAAAAACAAAATTAATAAAAAAAATTGCATACCACACGGCCTAAGAGATATAATCGTCTTTTGACTACGCATCTTCAGTGACTCATCAAGAACCATAATAAGAAATGGGCTGAAAC